GAAACTCAGGTACCTGAAATTATTGAAAATGAAGAGATCAATATATTATGTCATGAATGGAATACGATGGAATCGAAACAATGTCAATATTGATGACGTGTTCGCATATAATATAGCGCTAAAAGAAATAAATGATATTGAGGATCAAGAACCAAAGTCCATCAATGATTGTCGACAAAGAAATGATTGGCCAAAATGGAAAGATGCAATTGAGGCAGAATTAGACTCGCTAAACGAAAAGTTTTTGGACCAGTACTACATACACCAAAAGGTGTAAAACCAATTGGATACAAATGGGTTTTTGTGCAAAAACGAAATGAAAATGGTGAAATTGTGAGATACAAAGCAAGACTAGTTGCTCAAGGTTTTTCACAAAGACCCGGTATTGATTTTGAAGAGACATATTCACCTGTAGTGGATGCAAACACTTTTCGATATTTAATTAGTTTGGTTGTACATGAAAAACTTAATTTACATCTAATGGATGTAGTTACAGCATATTTATATGGCTCTCTTGATGCTGACATTTATATGAAACTCCCAGAAGGATTTAATTTGCCTGACGATGCAATTTCTAAAGAAGATTATTTGATCAAATTGAATAAGTCCCTATATGAGCTAAAGCAATCAGGTCGTATGTGGTATAATCAACTAAGTGAATACTTGTTACAAGAAGGATATAAAAATGATCCAATTTGTCCGTGTGTATTTATAAAAAGATCTGAAAATCACTACAAGAAAAACAGTAATTTTCGACGGATAATTTTTGAAAAAAATTTTTTTTGACGGATTTTGATCCGTCGGAAAAAAAAAATTTTCGACGGATAATATTCCGTCAAAAATTTCTGACGGATTTATATCTATCGGAAATTTCTGACAAAAATTCCGTCAGAAATTTCTGACAAAATATTCCGTCGAAAATTTTTGACGAAATAATCTGTCAGAAATTTTTGACGGAATATTCCGTCGGAAATCAGTATTAATTAATATTAAACCATATTAATTAATAGTGGATGCTCATGCATGCTGATTAATTAGAACTACTGATAACATAACATTATTTCCTAACTGCATATGCATCAAATTTAGAGAGCCTTGTACCATAGCAACTTACATATACATTATTAATTACAATAATTTAGTTATATAACATTTTTTTAGAAATGTGTTGACAAGATAATCTATATATTTATTTTTAAGATAAAACTTAAATCTAATATTAAATATTAGAGGGAACTGGTCGGGCTAAGTTAACTATGTACCATACAAAGAGGGAGTGACTCTTATTCTTAATATAAGATTTATATTAAAGTTTGTATTAGTATTTTATTGTTAGATTTATTATTATCCTTTATCAAATTTTTTAAGGAAAAAAAGCTTTTGATTTTGATCACTTTTGGTAAATGAGAGAATCATCCTTAAGACTCTAAGGTTACGAAGAGAAGTTAACCAATAAGTAAGCTTTCACATTATCAACATTTGAAAAAACACTTTAATACTTTTTTGACAAATTATTTTCAATTTTTCAAGTTCTAAATTTAGTTGTTTATGGCGATAAAAGATGTGAGATTACATTTCAAATATACAACTTATTGGTTCTCGTCTACTACATTTTTAGTAACTATTTTATACATGTTTGTGTTAGTAAAAATATAAATTCATAAGCATAATATCCTTAAGTTTGTTGTTTACATTTAAATGAATGCAATGCCATCTACAAAGAAACAAAAATTAAAATACAATTATAAAGTATTACTCGGATCACATCGTGGGCAAAGTAGAACTTGTTTTAAAGGTTAGTCTTTTTCAATACTATTGATTAATCTTATCATTTTAGAGAGTAAAAAATATGTTTATAATATGTTGTATATATGTATACTTAAAGATTTTTGTCCCTATTAATGATGGTAATGTGCATTGGTACTTACTTTCGATTAATCTTAAGAAATAACAACTCATTTTACTAGATTCAAAGTCATGTTCAACATATGACTCTAGGAGGACGAACATAGAAAAAGTTGTATATAACGAATAAAATTATTTTTAAAATATACTTTTTCCTTCATATCATTTAAATAACTAATGTTGTTTCATAGGATATTATTTTATGAAAGAAATGGTATTAGATAACTCATTTTATCACTATAACACAACAAAATTAACAATTTACTACTTTATTATAGTCATTCTAAATGAAGTGGGGGAACAAGATAATTATCTTTTACTCACTAAGAAATTAAATGTTATTCATTATAAATAATTGAAGATTATGAATTTTTTTTTTTTTTAAATTGTTATATACAACTTTTTTCACATTTATCCTTTTAGTGTCATTTATATCAGATAATATGAAGGCTAACTTATGGGTCTTAGGGGTGCTTTTATCTCCTTTACTAAAAGCCTATGAGATCAATATCTCTTTCCAAAAAAACTATTTAAAAATAAATCATGTAACACTTATATGTGATTTTATTTTTACTTATAATATATAATTTAGAGACACATAATTATTTTTCTTATCATTCTTGTTACTACTCAAAAGATATGATATGTTGCAATAATCACTTCAAATTCATTTAGCTCCATTTCCTTACGGGAGGTTTGAACTTTAATTACATCCACTATAAATTATAGAAATATTATTAGATATATAGAAACTATTTGACAAAGGAATATAAATAATAAAGATAACTTATATATATGTGGTACTTTAACTCCTAGTTTTTTGTCATCAAAGTTGAAGGAATGTAGTGTCTTTTTAAAGAAATTTCCATTATAGATTAAACTTTCCTCTTATCCTAAAAATTTTTCCATTACTTAAATATATATATATATATATATATATAATTTGCTTTCCTTTTGTGTTTCATTTTCTGTTTATGGTTTTTTAGTTTATTAGTTGTCATCGTACATGTGTTTGTTACCTTTTTCTTTAATTTGGATTTTATACGATGTAAGTTTTAATTAGATATTCAGCGAATCATATTAATAAAGATTTCAACAAATTATATTACTATTAAACATCCGATAAATAAGGATATATTTAAAGAAATAACTTATTTAAGATATTATATAATAAATTTTTATGTAATAAGATCAATGAATAATGATATGTTTTAAGAAATAATACTTGTTTATCATGAAAATAAATTTTGATTGAAAATAAAATAAAAATATAAAAAGTAACTAAATAACTTTCAAAATGATATTCTATATCACAATAATATTAAAATGATTTTATCTAATTTTTTTTTAAAAATAATATTAAAAATTAAATATTTTTATAAATACTAGAGATGTTAAATCACTTTGTGCCACTAATAATGATAGGTAGATAAAATATTAGAAGATTTTACGTAGTTATTTAGAGAGAATATAATTTTTTTTATATTCAAAGAAAAAGTGTTATACATAAAACTTTAAGATTTTGTTAAAATTTCAAAATTGAACTATTATTATTGTTATTATAAATATATTATTATTTTAAATTTGAAATACTATTATTTTGCATTTAAATTAAATTATATTAATCATTATTTTCAAGTTTAAATTAAAATATTATTTATATATTAATTTAATTAATAAAAAATAATATAGTAATTTTAAAAATAATTTTATTTTAAAGATTTTTATTTTGTATTATTTATAGGAGTTAAAGTGGTAGTTTTTTATTTTTAAATAAAAATATATTTTTAAAACGCAAAAGAGGCGGAATAAGTTTAAACCCTAGAGGCACGAGGGTTCGTCACAAAAAAGAGAGGGATTTTAAACCCTAATTTACATAGAAGAGAGGCACTCTCAGAAAGCCAAAATCGTCCCCTGAAATTGAAGAGGTGCAGAGTACCGCGGTGCTACTTTTGTCTTTGTTTTCTCTCCATTTCTAGTTTCCGAGTAAGATTCGCGCACGCTTCTTCTTCTTCTTCTTCCATTTCTCTGTTTCGTTAATCCTAATAATCAATCGTATTTGTCAACTCTTATAGTCTTTACAATGTTTCGAAACCCTAGAAATTGTTTTCATGTTCCGAGTAAAATTGTTTTATTTTGTTTTTGTTAATTTTTTGTGAGTTTCGTTGAATTAGTTATTATTTCTCTGTAGTGGCTCTTGATTTATGCTTTGAACCATGAATAATGACGGTGTCTGTGTGTGCGAGTCTTAATTAGTGCATATCGCGTTGCTTGTATGGAAATCTTTAACTTGAACTAGTTTTGAACGAACTTGCAGGATGATTGAGTTTGTCATACTTATGGAATTGATTTTTTTTTTCCTTTTTCCCCTCCATTTATTGTTAGAAGCTTTGTGTTCACGGTTGAAGCACAGTTACTTGGTGTATGCAATTAATAGAAACACTTTTTTATTATTAAATTCTGCAATGGAATGCTGGCTGAATTAGATTTGTTAGAGCATGAGAAATCTGAAGATTAGAGTGTTGTTCTTAACTATGTTTGAGGATTTTGATCTCTGGAGGGTTTTTAAGGCATGTTGTCTTGAAATCTCAGTTTAATTGTCTTTCCTCTTTGTTTATTTGTCAGGAGGAAGTAGGGTTACGATTTCTTGCTGGAAATTGAGGTGGCTTTTTGTGTTTTCTATTGTGATTTCCTGGTACACTATTGGATTTCTTTTATCAAAAGAAATTATTAGTAAGTCTGAAGGCTAGCAATTTTGATCTTGTAATTACTAATTAGATGTTTGGTTTTGGATTAAATCACCTATTAGCTGAGGACCACTGTTATGTAGATAGATTGCGCAACCAAAATTACATGCCTTTATAGTGGCTAGTTTTTGAGGAATTGAAACACATATTTTGTATTTGATGTAATTTCCGAGTAACTAGTCAGGTTATATTAGAAAGTATTTGATTTGCTAAAAAAGGAAGGATAACTAAAAAATGCTTGTTCCATGTTCTTTAATAGTTACTGTTTGGTGTTGATTGTGGTAATATTTTTTAGGAAAACAAATGAAAATAATTAAGTAGATAAAATAATTTCTTATTTACAATATAAAACAACTGAATCAGTTAAGAATTAATCAGTTGGATACTATTTTAAAATCATGCTAAAATGTCACTAAAAACTATCACTAAAATCAAGAGTGTCATATACTTTTCTACTTTTAATAGTGTGAAGTTTAAGAAAGGCTTAAAGTAGTACACAACACCAACCATCACCCTCATATATATATATATATATATATATAGATTGTGGCTTGCATTGCATGGCATATTAGGATGCCTTCTTCCAACGATTTAAGGTATGAATTGCTTGTTTAATTCTTGTTTGTGAACAATGATATGTTCATCTAAATTGTACCAATTTTTGAGTCATATATTGTTCATCTCATTTCTTTACTTGGAACTTTGATGCTTAATTTACATGTTCACAAACACTTGAACTTACTTGTTATTGTAGTTTCGATACAAGCATTTGCTTTTAACATGAGTTGTAAAAAAAAAAAGTTGAGTTGAAATGCTTGTGTTATTGCTTTTGGTTTGGTTTAATTTATTTATTTGTATCCTCGTGTTATATTTGTTTGTGGCTTCACCTGCATGATGTCATTTCTATTAATTGTTGAAAAAGATTTGAATTTGATTTCCTTTGACATTTTTGTGTTATAATTATTATAATTCATTGATTTTTTCTTCATGTAGCGTAAGGTGGCATGGAGACCCGAGGATGAGGAAAAAGTAAAGAAAATTTTTCACTTAAAAGCTTCTCACAGATTGTCTGATATGTTTAATGAAGCTCGGAAAGCAGGTAAAAGGCCACTTTGGGTTGGAGAAGATGTGTGGAACAATTGGTAGCCCATTGGAATTCAGCTGCTTTTCGAGTAAAGTCTACACAAGCCTCTCTAAATCAACTGTCTGAAAAGGGTGGGACTCTTCATACAGGTGGCTCAATTACAGTTCATGATCATGCCAAGCGCATGGTATGTATGGATTAAAAATTTCTTTTCTATTTTTACAACTTTACAACAAATTAATTTATTTCGCATCAATGTATTATTTGCAGGCAAAAGAATTTGGTCGTTCAGTGCATATTGATGAGGTCTTTCAACAGACCCATATACGAAAAGATACTGGACAGTTTGTTGATGAAAGATCCAACAAAACATATGTAAGTTATTTAAATAATTATTGATGTTATTTTTAATCATATTTACAAGATTAGTAAAACAATGCCTTTGTTGAATTACAAGAAGATTTTCTCAATAAATTTTCTCAAGCTATGTCCGAGGCTGCATCATCTGTTGATGAATCACATCCTATGGACCCTGGTTTGGAGGATACAATTAGGTCTAAGTGTTGGTCTGATGCAGTTGGTGGCATGACCACTAAGGGGCGACTGTATGGAGCTGGAGACCTTGCTCGTCATTTAAAAGATACACAAAGCAGTCGCGTCGACGTCAATCTTAAAAGGAAAGCATCTTGTAGCAGTTCACGTGATTGGTCAATTGAAACAATGACTTGCAGAAAATGATGTGCTTATTCGTTAGTTGCAACAGATTCAATCAGTTGTCATGCAATTCTTACCCACTGAAGCACAAACTGCCATTCAAAATATTTGTCAACAACAAAATACCAACTTAAATAAAAAAAAGGGGGAACAACACCAAAACCAAAAAAAAGAAGATGACCAAGACAAAAATCAACAAGACTCTCCTAATTATGAAGATTATTAGCATTAGAAAAATATTAATTACTCTATTTTAATTAACTATATATGATGTTTGAATTATGAATTATTTTATTATTATGATATAAACATTACTATTATCTTTTAAATTTATTTTGATGAAGCTTCTATAATTTATGATAAACAGGTTAAAATAATTAGTTATATTAAAAAAATTATGTATAATTAAATGTATCCCAAAAATTTCCGACGGAAATTTCCGTCGCAAATGTCGCCAAAAAATTTTCGACAGAAATTCTGTCGGAAATTTACCCCAAAAATTTTCGACAGAAATTTCGTCGGAAATGTCTCCCAGAATTTTCCGACAGAAATTTCCGTCAGAAATGTCCCTAAAAAATTTCCGACAAAAATTTCTGTCGGAAAATTCTGGGAGACATTTCTGACAGAATTTCTGTCGGAAAATTCTGGGAGACATTTTCGACGGAATTTTCGTCAGAAATTTTCGACAAATATTTCTGTCAAAAATTTTGGACAGAATTTTCTGACAGAATTTCTGACAGAAATTTAAATTTTCGACGGATTTTTTTTTTCGACGACACTTTTTCGACGGATTTAAATCCGTCAGAAATCCATCGGAAATACCAAATTCCGTCAGAAATTTACTTGTTTCCGTCGGAAATTTCTGACAAAAATTGACATTTTTCTTGTAGTGAATGGATTTGCCATAATTGTAGTTTATATAGATGACATAAACATTATTGGAACTCCTGGAGAGCTTTTAAAAGCAATAGATTGCTTAAAGAAAGAATTTGAAATGAAGGATCTAGGAAGGACAAAGTTTTGTCTAGGACTGCAAGTTGAATACTTAGAAAATGAAATTCTTGTGCATCAAAAAGCTTATATAACTAAGGTGCTTAAAAGGTTTTATATTGACAAATCACATCCATTGTGCACTCCCATGGTTGTAAGATTTTTAGATGTTAACAAAGATCCATTTAGACCCCAAGAAAAGGATGAAGAAATACTTGGTCCCGAAGTACCATATCTTAGTGCTATAGGAGCACTAATGTACCTTGCTAATTATACACGACCTGATATAGCATTTGTTGTTAATTTGTTAGCAAGATATAGTTCTTCACCTACACGAAGACATTGGAATGGAGTTAAACAAATCCTTCGTTATCTTAGAGGTACAATGGATATGGGGTTATTATATTCAAATGTTCCCAAACCAGAACTAAATGGTTATGCAGATGCAGGTTATTTGTCAGATCCTCATAATGGTAAATCACAAACAGAATATTTGTTTACAAATGATGGTACAACCATTTCATGGTGATCTGTAAAACAAACCATATCAGTCACTTCATCTAATCATGCTGAAATTTTAGCATTACATGAGGCAAGTCGTGAATGTGTTTGGCTAAGATCTGTGATTCAACACATACGGGAAACTTGTGGTTTATTTTCTAACAAAATGACATCGACAGTTATATATGAAGATAATGCTGCATGTATTGCACAATTGAAAGATGGATACATAAAGGGAGATAGAACAAAGCATATTCTACCAAAATTCTTTTTTTTCAAAAGAATGGTGATATAAATGTTCAACAAGTCCGCTCAAGTGACAACCTAGCAGATCTCTTTACAAAGTCACTTCCAAGAAAAGTTTTTGAACAATTGATACACAAGATTGGACTCCATCGTCTTAAAGATTGTATGCATGAGGGGTAAAAAATAAATATTTATGAATGATGTACTCTTTTTCCTTCACTAGGTTTTTATCTCACAGGATTTTTCCTAGTAAGGTTTTAACGAGGCACATTCTAAATATTGGACATCCAAGGGGGAGTGTTATGAATAATAATTAGTGGCTTAATTAGTGGATGCTAATATTCATTATCAATCATTACCATTTATATTTCTGTTATGTATTATTCCCTTTATTGTGTAATTGTTCAGTTACCACATGTACTTATAAATAGGTTAGTCCTCTCCCAAAGATAATATACCAGTCAGATTTTTTTCTCCATCTCATATTGTCTTCTTTGTTCTCTCTATTTTTCTTTCTTTTATAACATAATTAACTATTTACCAATAGAAAATTCGGGATGTTATATACTTAGTGGGTACGAGGATGAGGATTAAAATTGTTACCCGCGTGAATATGAAAATGAGTATGAGTATTGTTTTTAAACGTGGTTATAGGAACAGGTATTATAAGATCCTACCTAGACCCTACCTATTATCATCCCTAGACAACAGGGTGGATAGTAACTTCTATCATCTGCTCCGTTTAGTATATGTATCCATTAAATTTTGATATATTCATGGGTATCTACAAGTACCCATAAATACTTAAGAAAATGTATAATTTTAAATAAAAAGGTAAGAAATAAAATAAAAATTGAAATTAAATAATTTTAAATCATATATTTATATTAAAAATAATTATGTAACATATATTTGTACTAAAATAAAAATTATGACACATATATTTAATATAAAAATAATTTGAGTTAAATTACTTTATATATAATTAAGAGTATTTTTAATGTTTTTAAAGTGTGAATACCCGTGAGTATAGATACCTATCATATTATTAAGTGGATATCTATTTAATTATTCATTTAAAATTCATAATGAATTTATCTACGAGTAGCCACAGGTATTGGTTGTTTTGTCATCCTTATTACTTATGTGTAGAAACCTTAAACTGCATTTCTTATAGAACAGAGAGAATTGTTAAAAAAGTTATATATAGGGATAGATATAGTAAATGATAATTGGAGAATTTAAGAACAAATTTTGATAGAGCAAAAAATGAAAGTTAAAACTTGTTTTATAAAAATTGTTAAATTCTTATAAATAAATAAATAAAACTACCATTTATTTTTAAATTGCGTCTTATAATTACAATAGGAGGCATCGGAGTAATACATAATTAAAAATATTTATTTAATATAAATTTTAATTAACGTATGATTTATATTTAATTAATATAAATTTTATGATATACAATATTTTATTTTGTATATTATCCAAACTAAAATACTACATATTCTTATTTAAATGTTGATTTATTATAGCAGTAGCCAAAGGTGCCTAAACTTTTTAAGAATTTTTAATTAAGTCTATAAATTAAAAATGTTTATAATCAAGTCTTTGATATATATATTGAGACTAGAGGTATAAAATCACCACAGATTGTTACTTTAGTTGCTGTGTCATGCCGCCACCAATTATCTATTGAAACTCAATTACAAAAATTTTAAAATGTTAAGGATTCTTATAAAATTTTAAAGTTTAAAAGTCTAATTAAATATTTCTAAAATGTTCATATTAGAGGTTAAATGTTTTTTTTAAGTGGTCAAGGTTATTTAGAAAATTATTTAAACATTATATGGAATATTGAAAAAAATGGTAAAAATAAAATGCAAAAATGATATAAAAAAAAAATATGTGCATCTTATTTTAATTTGATCCAAAATAAAAACAATCTATAACTATGCTGATATTATTATTTCACTAATGATGAAAGTTTTAACGTCACATCTATCTAATAAGTATTATCTTTAATGAATATATTAAAACAAACTAAACTTGGAAAATAAATATTTATAATTTTAAATACAATTAATGCAACCGTTTCTTATGATTTTTTTTGTATTGAGTTATGATTAATTTAATTCAACTTTGATGAAAATTAAAAAAATTAACAATATAGATAAGAGTGGGATCAATTTATATTTAATATTTTTATATAATATAAAGTTTGCAATCTATTTATTAAATTATTTGATATCATCTTAATAATTATAAATATATATATATATATATATATATATTAATCAAAGAAATCTCAATGATTTTCTTTAAAAAAAGAAGGAACAAATTGTCATTAGATCAATCGCTATAAAGATAAAGTAGTATATTCAATTATAACTTTGTATCACTATGAGTTTTGATATTTTAAATTAATTACATGCTTAGTTGATTATTGACGTTAATGTTGTTGTTTCAAAACTATGAAATCGAGGAACTATCATAGTTAGGTTGCCTCTAATGTAATTGAGGCATAATTAAGTTGGTTCAACTCATAAAGGGTATATATGATTTTTTAAAAAACGTGAACCTTATAAGTTCATATTTTCAAAAATCCTAAAGAAAAGCTAGTAAGAAGTTATTTGGAGTTCGAGTGATTTTCTCCACTTTTCTAAAGTATAACCCTTCTCTTCTCCCTTTCTTGCATCTAAATCACTTAACTAGGAGGAGATTAAAAGCTTATAGAGCCAAGAATCTTGAGTCTTAGGCCATGCGAAAATTTTCTTCTTCTCCTCTCTTTGGTTTGGATTGACTAAAGGTAAGCAAAGTTTGTGGATTAAAGATTGTTTGATTTTGATATGGTTGTTTACTGCCAAAGGATCATCTATTATAGTTGAGATTGATTGAATTCATGATGGTTTGCTAGGTTGTGCTTTTTTCTCTCAAAGTTATTTATGAGATGAAATATGATGATTCTTGGTTTTGATGGATGCATGTAGGCATGGCAACAGGGCGAGACAGGTGCAGGTTTCATGATACATGTCCTCGTCCCCACATTCATACTTTGTACCCATCATCATACTTGATACCTGACGGGTATGGGATTTATGTCTTATTTATGTTCCCTTTGGGTATTTGGTATACTCATACCCGTATTCGTACCTGCCATAAATTAAACATCACTAATTGACATGCGCCACCAACCAATAAACAACCCTCATGTGCCTAACCTTGGAACCCTCACATGCCTAATCTTGAAAACCTGATGTCCTAAACCCTAGAACCTTGGAAGCTACTCAACCTCGAAATCCTCGTGCACCCAACCCTAAAACCCATACATGCTTAACCCTGGAACCTTCATGCAACCAACACACAACCCCTCATCCTAGATCCCACCATGCCAAACATATTGACAGAGAGAGAGAAACTGGAAGTGTCGTGGTGGTCGATGGGAGGAAGAGAGTTTGGTGGGAGGAAGACAAACCCTATTGCAAATGTGAGGAATGAGTAAAGAAAACTAGGAAAAGGGCTTACAGACTACGTGTTTTAAAAAGTTTAAGTGGTTACTGATATGGGTTTATAGACGGGGATGGGGCGG